AAGACAATTAATCCCCATTTAATCTCTTTCCATCAAACGTATGTTTTCATGTGAAAAGGCCGAAAAAACTTCTCAAAGAGTATACGTTCAAGTCACAGCTTGTGTTGAATATTTGCGCATTATGTCTTACAATCGATAAGAACGAATACAATGTACAAATGATGTAAAAATTACGATTGATAAGAGCAAACATAAATCATGTAAAAATTACGATTGATAAGAGCAAATATAAATCATGTAAAAATTACGATTGATAAGAGCAAACATAAATCATGTAAAAATTACGATTGATAAGAGCAAATATAAATCATGTAAAAATTACGATTGATAAGAGCAAATATAAATCATATAAAAATTACGATTGATAAGAGCAAACATAAATCATGTAAAAATTACGATTGATAAGAGCAAATATAAATCATGTAAAAATTACGATTGATAAGAGCAAATATAAATCATGTAAAAATTACGATTGATAAGAGCAAATATAAATCATGTTAAAAGGAACGATATGTTTAAAACTTAACATCCCTAAAAATTAATGCCACATATTCTATGAAAACAATAAGATTAAAAAGATTTTTTCTGGTTGCATCATTAAATATCTAGGGAGGAAATTTAATTTAATTTTATACTATAGTTGACATATTAATAACATTCTAATAAAACTCATTCAGACACAGCAAATACATTCTCTTCATGAAATTTTATTTTGGAATCTATAATATATAGATTGATATTTTATTTTAAAAAATCGAATGACAAGCTTTTTTCAATGTTTTGAATTTTAACTTGTTTAGGCATGATGAAAAGAAAGTAAGATAAATACCTAACTTTCGATAAAAATTAATGTTTCCATTAACAAAAATACAGTATTTGTACAATTTATTGATTTTATGGGTAGAGATGCAATATTTCATTAGTATCATAATCATAAAATCTGCCAAACTCAATTCAAAGTATCATGAAATGAAACAGGCCATAAAATGTGGTTGGAAAGACATGAATGAGATTGTAATTTTTCATTTAATTTATATGTTGATGTTATTTTAATTGCACTGCACATATCTACATATCTAGTATGCAGCTGCAATTTCGTAATAAAAACTGCATCGTACCTGTCAACTGTCTCATGATTAACTACTTTAGATAGTTTGCAAGTTATGACTATGCAGTATTTAAATTTGTTTAACAAAGTGATTAAATATTATTGACTTATTTTTACTGTCTGACCACAAAAATGTATTTTGAACAAATCCCTTAATAGTAGATCAGAGTTTGATAATTTAGCACACAGCGTCTTGATATTTTGATGTATAGATTCGTTTATAGATTTGTTTATTGTCATATTAGATACAGTGGTTGCTAAACTATAATTGTATTATAAATAGTCCATTACCCTGTTGTAAAACATTAGGCATTTTTATTCGTTGATAAAAAGGGGAAATTTTATGAGGTGTATTTATGTCAAGAAAATAAATAACCAAATATCTTTTTGTTGTGTACGAGTAAATCACATGTAAAATTGGATGTATTATTACTCAATGTGCACTATATAAACAGATGTTGAATGACATAGTTTAGTTTTAGTACTTGACGCTTCATTACAAGATCAAATCAAATGACCGTGCATTTCAGGCTTAGTTCTTCATCCAAAACTGAATAAAAAGAGCTAATGACTCTTAAACAAATTCATTTGTACAATTATGAGCTAATATCTTTAACTTCGTACTTAATTAAACCTTTTACGCCGCTTTGGTCGGACAGACCAAAGTGCCGTAAAAGTCGGACTGCGTTAAATGTGGTTAACTGTTCCAACCCGTGCTTATTTAGCCATAGTTTTTTTGTGTGTTCCAAAGATATTATATCATTTTAGGCTATTAAGACAGTGCATATCTATTCCCTCTTGGGTCTGTAGCAAAGGATCATTTTTGCGGCAACCATGTTAACCATGAGTTTTCAGCTTCAAATAACCTTTTTGAGTTTAGATAACGGTGGTGTTTTATAACAATTATGTATTGAAAATATTTATGTAAATTATTTCATAAGAGCATTTGTTCTATTGACACTGTATATCTTTAATCTTATCCTCAGTCTTTGTCCTTTTGTTCTTAAATGTTAATACGAATTAGTTTAGCCAGCAACTGAATAGTTGCAGTTTTATTTCCAATATAATATAATACACTACAATAAGTTTACTACAAACTTTATATCTAGTTACTATATTGACAATCTTCCTAAACTGAACAAAAGTGTAGGTATACGTATTTCGCCAATATGATTATATTAAATACAGGGAAATGTTGTTGCTTTTTTTGTTGTCTTTATCCGAAAAGGTACAAATGTTCTTAGATAAAATATATCAATCTTTCTTTTCAAAACACGTAGTTATTAATAACATTTCACATAAACAAAAAATAGTGAATGCATAACAACTATGAATGCATTTCAAATATAAATTTGAATATTAAATAGTTGAGTATGACACAGTTTCACTGTTTCTATTGTTAACATCAAAATATCGTTATATATATATTCATTCGATTAAAAATAATAGGAAACATAAAAAAATAATTTATTTAGTATGAAATGATAAATACATTAATTGATAAATTAATCATTGAAAATTATAACAGTTTGAATTCATAATCTTAGGTAAACGTTTCATTGAAGCTATTGTCATTATGTTAAATTGTGTAAAATATTTTTGTGGATATACATGTTTATAAATTGAAAGATTATGTTATCGACAAAATGTATTTATTTGTCGTTTTCTGTCAAAAAAGTATTATTTTAGAGAATTATTCATTGGCTATTTTGGCAACAAATATGAGCTATTTTAAAATTTTTATTAAAATGTTAAACTACAGTAACAAAATATTCAATATACATGGGGTTCATTAAACCATCAATGTCTTACATATTCAACAGTTATCACACATATATATTTGTCATAAAATTACATAGCATTCATTCAAAAGGATATGAAATAACGATTCGGTGTCACATTGTAACAGTTAAAGGAAAAAAGCAATCTTTAATTAGTTTGCCATAAAAGACATAGACAATCACTATAGTCTACATGTATTTATGTTAAACGAGATATTTAAAAAATATACCCAAAATGCATATTCAAGAAACAAGCCAATTGTATATTTAACGAACAAATACCTTGTAAGTGACTTAATATGTTAGGCGTTTTAAATTACTTTTTGTCTAATAGAATTGCAATATTTCAAATGAATCTTGATAAATTAAAAACATGTAACTTTAGTAAATCGCTTATTTTAATCTATCTAGTAAATGGACATTTTTTAAAAAATAATTTCAAACACTTAATCCGTTTACGCTATTAAATTGGTTACTTAATACTTATACTACGCTTACCTATAATAAGCAGTCATAATTTTTTTGTTTAAATGTTTGGTTAATCTGCCCCCTGTTAGACATACCGGAATATTTGTTTTTTTAACATTACTAGACATTCCTAGACAGACCGGACAGTTCAAATACGATGTAACGGATCGTTACATTAAATTAATGACTTGCAAATTACATAGTCTGTTATTTAGTAAAAAAATCAATCTAAGTGTCCTTATCAACCTCAGTTTCTTCAAGGTTAATTTCGATATTGGCCACGATGTTATGTTGACAGTTTTGACATTTTCAATTTTGCCGTGTTGGGCTTTCTTTAGGGATTCTATATTTATCTATATTATGATCACATCCGTGTTATTTGTGCCGTGTGGCGGCTGTAAAAAGTCTCCCCGTACATTTAATCAATGATGTTATATTTTCGATCCTTGAAGATCGTTCAGCACGACATTATTGTTGTGCTTGTGGTATTTTTAGTTTCAACTTTTCGGCATTTTCCACTTGGGTGGTTCCAATATTCCTACTTGAATAATGTTGAATCACCCTTAGGATATGTTGCCTGCTTTTTAAATTTGTCTTTTGACGTCTTATCTGTGATACGCAGGCGTCATAACCTCTGATCCCCTTTCAAAATTCCATTTTATTTAGTTCCGCCCATTGTTTTCTCGTTTAGGGCACACGCTTTTTATTACTTGGGGACCATACGCCGCTTTTCATGGAATGGCACGGAAGTGTCACATTGAAGGTTCCATGATAAACGCCGTATGAACACATCTGCGGATGTTTCTAAATTCAAAATTTTACTATTTCACGTTTAAATGTTGAATTCTGCTTAAGCCGGTGCTAGGGGGCGTGGACGGTAACTTGCACTTTCCAGTACCGTCCATGAACAGGCTCAATCAAACCGAGCCTGCAACATTTTCAATTTTGCCGTGTTGGGCTTTCTTTAGGGATTCTATATTTATCTATATTGATGCAAAGTCAGTTTAGCCAGTTAGCTAAAACGAATTTTCATCTAGAAGGAAAATTTTAATTTCAAGTTAACGTTCTTATTAAACGTGAAGTATCATTATTTCAGTAGAAGTATAAAATGGAATATGAAATGCTTACAATACGTCTTGAATTTCGTCTCGTTAAGACCAATAGCACAATAAGGTGGTCATTACTTTCTATGTGTCAAACTCCGATCAGTGATTATCTCAATGTGCTGAAGTTAAATGAAAATCACGATTTTTTTCCCTTATGCATTCTTTTTTAAAACTATATATCAGTCTAATATTCATCTTTCAATCTTATCGATGTGTTGAAGTTTAGTTCTTACGTCGACTGTTAAGAATAATTCGAGTAAAATTTATCATAGGTAAGTCGAAGTCATCGATTTATTTGACATTTTCGATCTCGATATGTTTTTTACATTTTTTTTAGCCTATCAATTTGTAAAATATGAGTCAATTCCATAGCGTTCCTCCGGTTTGGAAGAAGAAATAAAGTTTTTAGGCAAGTACCTTCAACTTTGACTAACTGAATTCCTGCTATAGTTTTAAAAAGAACAAAAAGAACAATAAGGATCAAAAGAATGCCAAGCAGTTGAATATGTTATTTCTTAGACAATTTTACAATTTCAGATTCGACGGAGAAGTTTTACCCATTTCAAACAACCATTCCAAAGTTTCTACCGGTCCCCACAAATATTACCGTCCATGAAGGAGAAACTGCTCGTCTGAGATGTAGAGTAACAAATCTAGGAACTAAATTGGTAAATATATAAACTGACTAAATTTATATTCAAACAAACATTCCTATTTGTATTATAAGAAATATTTATGTTGCGGGTAGCGTGGCTAATGATTTCTATAGATGTGTTTAAAAAATTTCAAAGTCTTAAACAGGAAACAACCCATGCAATAACCGGATAATTTAAATGTAAGTTCGGATGAGTTTTATAACGTATTGAATATGAAAACAAAGATCAACAAAGAAGGTATATACTCGTATCTAATGAACTAATATTTTGCTTTATGTTTGGACTTTGTCAGTTTGAAGACCTTTTCTTCGTTATTGTTTTCAGGATAATAAACTGATATAGCTTTACGCAATTATTTCTTTGAAATGTTCTCTGATTTAAGACTGTTTGTCTTTTATATTTTAATTATTTTATATTAATGATTTCCTTTTTCTTCTGTGCTTATAAAAACTCACTTTTATTAATTTTCATCCTTCACATGCATGTATCGTTTCGCTTCAATTTATTCTAAAAAAGTAAAAACAAAATGCTAAATGAACGTTAAAAACAGCAAAATTTAAAATGCGACAAGTTAAGTTTGATTAAGCTTAAGAAAAGATTATTAAGCATAAAGTAAGTTTGTATAAGTCCATCAAATATAAAATTCACACTTATTTCCATAAAGTAATCGATCAGATGTTTTTTAGAACTAAGGCAAAACCTTCTGTTAGAGAAAATCTTTCATAAAGTATATAATGAAAATTTACAAGATCATGATATTAAAGAACTTTGCCGTGGTGGTTTAGGGGAGATGGTATCCAAAGGTTTAGAAATACGAGAGTGTCACAATTTTAAATTCATTCACATGATGTTTAATCTGAATAAGCGCAAAATGCGTAAAAAAATATTCATACAACCAAATTGAATAATGTTTGAAGGACGATGTTAAGGAGTTATATGGAAAACTGCAACCTCCCCAATGACCAGTAGCTGAAGCTTACGCAGTATTCTAACTTTAAACAATTAAGGTGCTGGAACAATTGATCCCAAAAGGACCAGAAAAAAGAGATAAACACTATGTTTAATAATGGAAGGTTTAAAAACCACTAAAGAGTCTCATGGTTGGGTTTTCAATATTTTTTCAGCCGAACCATATTTGTTCTTTTCGTTTCATCGTTTTTGTACACGGATTGGGGCCAAACATTGCTGTTAAAACATCATGAAATTTCTTTATCGCAATGTTATTAGTTTCTGTATAAAACGGAGAGCGAATCTGAAAATAAAATCATAACAATTATACGCTGTTTAATGTTCGACAATATTAAATCCAACGCTTTGCTTCATAAGTAAACATAGTTGTACTATCATGTAGTCTCATTTGAGATGAAAAGTGCTTTTCAAGGATGGCTGTCTCAATTTCGCAAACATGATGTAAACCATCCTAAAGTTTTATGCAATTACTAGGAATTAATACACTGAACTGTCTGTTTTGATATACAAACATTCTCCTCTCCAGTCTAAAACCATCACGCTGTGACCATCTTGTCCATGATACACGGAGGAGCTCCATGAAGCTAAACGCCTAAAACGTAAACTTGAACGTAAATGGCAAAATTCAAGACTTTGTGTAGACAATGCTATATGCAGAAATCATTGTACCATGAACACAAAGCCTGCAGGTATTATCTGTAGATAGAACGGGTTCAGTCATCACTTTTAAGCAGACGACTCCCAACTTTACAAGTCATTTAAACCAATTGACCAAACTCCAAAGGCAGGCATAATATACCATGTTGAAAGTTGGTTCAATGATATTATTTCGTGGATGGACATAGAACATTTTTAATTGAATTCTTACAAAATCGAGGCTATCATTTTCTATAATCAATGGAAATCCTAGTAAATTGAAGATATAGAGCTAAGAGTCGGTGGTTCTGTTACAAAACCAGCAAGACATGTGAGAAACCTATGCGTTGTTTTTGACTCCAGAATGAAATGTATGTCAAAAATAGGGCACATTAGACAAAACCTCACGCTAAATGCAACAAAAACATGAATTTAACTCGCACGTTCAGACTTGATTCCATAAATTCCCTTCTATACGTAGCATTAAAGACAACAAACATACTGCAAAGTGTCCAAAACATGGCAGCTCTAAGCATAAGACGATCGTCTCGGTTTTATTTCATCATTCATGTTCTTTAGGATCTACATTCGTAACACAAAGCTGACAGAATAAAGTATAAAATCCGAATTCTCACTTTCAATAAGTTACATGCTTGAAGTGTACAAATGAGATATCTGAGGTCAAAAAGTGCATCAGCCACACTTGTACTTCTTAAGTGTCGAACTGTTACGTACGGAGACAGATCTTTTCAATGTGCTTCGCCAAAACCAAGGAACACTATACCATTAAGTCTAAGAAAGTCTTTTTACTCTTTCAACAAATATTTGAAAACGCATTACAAGGGTCGTAGTAAAACATTACGACGTACATATGTACGAGCTTATATTTCATAATGTGTGTTTTGTGTACTCTTAAGCACCAGTAACATTTTACTTTCATTTATGTAGGCTGTGTTATATACATTGATACTTTAATTGCTTTACGACTTTATTTAAGGTTTGATCATTTTAAAAAATATTTTTTGCCAATTTAAACAATTGTATATGTTTCAAATATTTTATAGTTATTATAATGTATTGTGTTAATAATCATCATTGTACAGCGCCCATATGAGTATAAATGAAAAGGGCGCTATAGCTATAAAAGTTTGGTTACAGAATAATGTTCTTTCTAAATGTGTGCTTGATAGAATCTCATAACTTTAACAAAGTTGAAATACTTACATCCACTGTCTTTTGATTTAGAAAGTCCGAATTACGTGGCCTCTAAGTATTGACTGTCTTTTTCACGAAAACAATTTTTAAAGTAAAGTCCCTGCTAACCATCCGATTCCATGTGTACAATCTCATAGGATGCTACTTCTTTATAACTTTGTATTCCTTACAATTACAGATGGCGTGGCGTAAGTCCACAGACATATCTCCAATGACAGTAGGAGATGTAGTATTCACGCGAAATAAGAATATCGAGTTACGAACAGAGATGATTTCAGATGCCGATGGGGAAGAAAGCAGATATGATCTGATCATGAAAGACATTAAGCGATACCAGGCGGGTTTATACGAGTGTAGTCTCAGTGCAACGGAAAATTACATCCAAAATGTAACATTACATGTATTAGGTAAAATACTAATTATATAAAGATAAGTATGGTGAACATCGATTAAAATATCTATTACATGTATGTAAGTTTTCACTTTGTTTCCAGATTTCAGTATGTTAGGAATGGCTTTTACTTATTTTTTTAAGTTTTGCTCATTCTTACATTGTATCTGCAATAGAAATAAATATTCTTAGTTAATATCTATTTCAGTTTGACACCCATATGAATTAATCTTAATTTCTTGAACTCGTAAGTACTTGGCTCAATTGAGAAATTGAAATCGTGACATTTTGACAAAACTTTGTAGAAGTACATTATGGAATTGCCTGAAAATAAAAATGAGGCTATATTAAGTACGCTATGCATTTGATGTAGATATCGTCGACTTTGAAAAAGAAAACGGAGCTTTATATGAAGTACAATATGCATTTGAATAGGTTAAATTGATAAGATTTGATCCGATAATCACTTCTAATAAAAACACCTTGTGGTTCAAAAGCTAAGAATCCATTGGTTATATTTATATGGTGAGAAATACAATGTAAGAAAGCGATCAAAGCATTTTCAGTGACATAACTTCCCTTATTCGTATACTTCATCCATTTGTAATTTAGTCCGATGTATCATTAACGTACATTATATAGCTAACTTTGCTACTAGATTGCACGAATTATATTTATACTTATAACTATCAGTATTGTTTGTCTTATGTAAGGTGCTTTAAATTTCAGAGCCAGACGACTTCACACTAGGTAAGATAACAACTGGTCTTATTTACATGTACAATTCAGAGCCCCTTCTTTCTTGAGGGAGGAACGCGTTCTTGCGAACAGTTTATAACAATACAAATCATTTATGCAATTAAAATATAAACATGGTTTGAAGAAGAAAGTTTTCACTATTCTTAACGTTTTAGCCAACAATTCGTACAAGAAAACAAAACTTAAAAGCGCATAAATATTTATTGAGTTTGCCACTAGTATGTTCTGTCCATAGCTAAACTTTTGCTTTTAAATATCATCTTATGTTTATTTGTTTACGTAAATTGTTTTCTGGTAATCTATTCGGTAATGTCAATGACACTGTTACCAATTGTTGTGTCAATCGGTTCGATTTTAATATTATGATCCATTTGGGTTTATACTTTTAAGAAAGCTTACTCATTTGATATAACGCTATCTTCAAAACACAAAACAACAAGATAAATAGAATAATAATAAAAAAAAAACACGGTTTGTTATATTTTTTCAGAGATGCAGTTGCATGGCACGCAATATTTGGGAGTCACGGAAACAATACATCTGATATGTAATGCTACAGGATTATCAACAGCTCCTGATGGTGTTGATTGGTTCTTTAATGGTGATCTGATAAGTGAAAGGAACCCTCGCTGGTTTGGACGATTATATAAAATAAACAAAAAACCTGTACCAGGACGTTCTTTAATTAGTGAAATCATGATTGAAAAGGCCACACGGGATGATACCGGTCATTATATGTGCCGACCTTTAAAGTCGCGGGGTAATAGATATATTGCAGATTTGACTGTAATTATTATAAATGGTAAGTTTTGACCATATGTGTTGAATGCATATAATTATATGTAAATAGAAAGAAATATGTAATAATATTAGAACATTACGCATGAACATATTAAGATTTACAACTTTCTATAAAGTAAGTTCCATTCTCCAAAAAATTGAATAAAAACGCGCAATTTTCTTTTAATTTGTAGGGGTGATGTGTTGCGTAGCATATAATAGTTTTGTTGATCATAAGTTGCTTTTTTGTCAAGAAATGAATTATGTCATCTTTACAAGGGTATTAACGTACAATACTTCTCGAAAGTTTTTTTTTACAATTATTATGATTATCTTATGATAGTTTCTGTTTTTTTTTTGTATTTCAGATAGTAAGAATTACAACGGCCCTAGAAGAGGTAAGTCAGTTTTGTCTAGTGTGTTTTTAATTTTAGAAATGTTATAGTCCACATACATCACTAGTAGTGAGATGTAATTCCTAGGTGCCCGCTGCCCGTTGTGTTTTTTTGTTTTGTTTTTATTGTTTTTTTGTTTTGTTTTTTTTTGGGGGGGGGGGGGTTGGTTGGTGTGTGTTTTTTTTTAATCTATGTTTTGCTCTTTAAATAATATTGTTTACTTTTGCATTAGAATCTATGAAGAGTCGTAATGGTTTTATATATTAATGGATCAATAACGTTTTTGTTTTGTAAATGTTACTTTATTCTAGTGGTATTTTCTGTAAATGCTACTGAAAAATTAACGTGACAGCTTATATTCTAATGAAATGTTCTAACAAAAATTACAGATAAGGTTAGTTTTTATGCATCTAGAAAAGAATAAAAATTATGAATCCATTATTAAATTATTGCTCTACTAATATTAAATTTTAAATTCAGAAATTGGAGAAGACACGACAAAAGCGCCACTTCATTCAAAGGACTGCAGCAGTGGATCATCTCGTGTGAACTATTTATCTATTACTTGTATCACTACGTTGTGTTACTTTATCACATATATCACGTATCGATGAAGTAATATTTGGAATATTCATACTGAGGTGTTAAGTACTTCATTTGAAATAAAAAGGGAAGCGGTTCAAAACGAGTAACATAGATATTTTCATTTCCCAAAATCAGGATGTAAATGCAGTTGCATCCTTCAGTGCTGTATGTCCGCCGATATATTCTCAAAAATGTATTTAAGCCGGCGGAAAAGAGTACAACAGAAAATAGCGATGTATGAATTCTAACTGCAGAAAAAACAAGGGAATGTCATTTTAACATAGATATGAATGTACGGATGCTGTCGCAGCTACAAGTGCAATGTCTTAAACTTTTGAAATATACATTCACACGAGAAAGATTATTCTTGCAAGCGAAAACAGTTGGTCTGCATCACATTTACTAATTATTACAAATGCTGTGACACAGTGTCCTTTGGTTCGAATGCAAGAAACTACTGGGATATCTACATGCATTTACCGAAAAAAAACATTTTTGGAAGCAAAAGCAACTCATAAGAAGAAATGGTATAATCAAATTTCTACTGATATATATGTCTGATATATATGTATATCAATTACTTCTAATACGACGCCTATACTTATAAATCGTGTAAATAGTGTAAATAATAATTATTTAAACATGTGTGTATTACCCGTAACAATCACTTTCTAATAATTTATATTATTGTATAATTATATTAATTACTGCCATGAGTATTATGTATTATGGTATTTGCTTGCTTGTTCAGCTATCAGTAATTAAGATAAGTTTCTACATAATACCCGTCATAAAAAATTCAAATTGAATCTAATTTGTCAAGCGAAAATAATTCTGTCATGCATAACATCTTACTATTCATGCACTTACTTATATGGTTTATGATATTATATAACGAATGATTGTTTAACCGTGAAGAAAGGAAAACAGTGGTTAAATAGCGATCCAAGGATAAAATTGTAGTTTTTGTTTTGGTGTTCAAATTGATATTATTTTAGATCAAAATCTGAAAGATATGTTTCATCATTGAAAATTGTTTGCTTCGCTTGCAATTTCTAATTTTACATCAGTTGAATGATTATGAAATACGATGCCAGTTTTAAGTATTATCTTCCTAAACTATTTTCTCTTATATAACATCTGTGTTTTTCTCTCGATGTTTTACATTCTTGCATTTGTTTCTTTCAAATTATGCATTTCTTTTTTTAAATGTTATATTTTTGATTAATCTCCAATCTATGTTGTACCAAAAGCAAAATGTTGTTTTTTGTTTTAAATATAAAATGTAATGTGTAGTATACCAATATTATTATGTGCATTAAGGGGCTTCCGTGGTCGAGTGATTATAGTCGATGACTTCAAACCACTTGAACCTCACACTTTAGTCACATGCAAGCATGCTATAAAAGAATGATAATATATTTCCTTAATCTCGTTAGAATAAAAACGATTCATAGTAAAGTGACATTATGCTTACTTTTGATGTCAAGTTGAGCAGAATTGACCATGTATTTAAAAAAAGGTAATAAGTCAATAATCAAGGCTAAATAGTGTTTGAGATAAAAGAATAAACTTTCTAAAATAAAAAAGAGTTTCCAACTCTTTTTACAAATAGAACATAACCACACAAACATTTTTTTTTGTGAGTCACATTGGGTATTGAATATACATGTTAAGTAAAATATAGTTGAAAACAGCAATGGCCAACAGTTAAAGATTATTTACTAGTCTAAGAACACTTACTACTTACTCTTGGATGGGCATAATGTCACTTTTAAAGAAAATATTTTAACGAGATTTATCATTCAAGCAATATTAGTAGATCAGGCCAATTTTAACGAATACGGCTGAAGAAAGGTCTACCAAAGCATAATTTTGTTAAATGAGTTGTATGCATTACACGCTTTTATATTTTTTATTTTATTCGATTTTGGATTTTTAAAATCATTTTAAGCTTTACGTAGCAATATGTTTATTTAATAAGGTTCTGACGTGCAAAAAATATAATTATAAGCTGGCAAGACAGAATATAAAAAATATTTGCAAAATTGTTGGAAGAAATATCTTTTCGTACTTCTATCACCTTGTTCACAGCTTTTAGCTTTATTTTTTCTAACAAAACAAGAACATGTTACCCTAGGTAGCAAAAACATTCGTTTGGTCCCTCTTATCATTTTATTATTTCAATACATAACACTGTATAGTATCACAAACTGTTTAAATCTGGACATAAATGTTTTGTTACGAAGTTGCTTGAAATAGACTTCCGCCCGATCATGCAACATCTCGATTTATGTCATAAACTGGATATATTTATTTTTAACACACATATTTACAACAGGTCTATATAAATAATAGCGATAACAACACAGGTACAATATGTATGCACATGTCTTTTTTAGAGGATTATGCCATTAAAGTATCTAAATGGACTGGAAAAGAAATGGTAGGGAAATTAAATAAATTAGCAAAAGAACACGCAAATAGAAATTATGTACAGTTATATCTAGAAGCGAATAACAATGCAAGATGTAGACATTTGAGGTTTAATTTTCTTTTTTTTGTTTTGCTTGTTTCTGTTTTATTCCTGTTTATTACGGGTTATAATTGAAATATTTGTTTCTATTCAATTTCAAAATCGGAACAACATTATTATCTTTTATAAATATTTAAAAAAATCTGAGTTTGACTTTATTTGTTTTTTCCACATAAAGAAATTGATTCGGTATCTTTGAAATAACACATTTTTGAATTTCATTACCACCAGCGACACTATGATGAAAAGATTATCGTCACCTAATGAATGTGTTAACAAGGGTTACCCAGTTACTGCATAATGGTACATAAACAATGATACTTTATTATAATTATGTTTATTAATAATGTTTATCAACATAGACTAGGCTTCAAGAAACTACATATTAAAAGTTTGGCTTTATTTGAACAAGGATACTTTCAAATCATCATAAATGACCAAAATGGAATCCTTATATATTAAATTGCCGCCGACATCCCTTTAACGAAACAGACAAAAAACAACAATTCTACCAGTATATTTCACATGCAAAAGGTATGGATATGCACTATACAGTCGGATTGAAATTGTATAAAAATGACAACATTAATGTAAAGTGTTTTGAAACACTTGCAGATCAATTCATTGTTTACAACATTAACAAAATGCCAGCAACAGAAAGGACAATGCAGTTTGAGACTAAAAAGAAAGAATATTAAGTTTTTATCAAACTGAAAACAATACGTTAAAGGAAAGTAAAATTTTAAGATACAAATAATACAATATAGCAAACGTGTGTGTCCTAGGCACAATTGTATTATTGCATTGATCATTGAAGTATCATGTTCTTATATATCACTGGACAGTCAGTGGAACAACAAACAGGAAAGCGATGTAGATACATGTCCAAAAAGATTATCAGCATTGGTCAATTACTATTATAAAAGTCAATCGCTTGAAATTTATTACTAATTCAACTTAGCTTGACATCACAAAATTGAGAAGAATGTCACTTTTACTTGGTTGGACAAAGATAAATTGCTAGAATATCTTAGCTGAATATATTTAAAAGCAATATAATACATATATGTACGTTGATGGATATTGATTGTGACATAATATAAGAACATATGTCAATCAAAATTATTCTGAGAAGAGGATTTGCAAATGAATAAATATTTACACGTCCTACAATATTTCAGCAGTATGCATTTGTTTCTTATGCCTCTACAGACAAACCAAAAACTATACAAAGTCATGTAAATACTTAAATATACGAAATTAAATTTTTTTCAAAATACACAATGTAAATGTTCGAATTTACTAGCATGATTACAACCGAACCATAAATGATTTCTAATCTTATCGTATATATTTCTTTAAGTGCAGAAATTCAAAAATTAACATGGATTTTATGACAGAAAAGCGCTTTCAATATTGTGAAAATTTCAAAATCATAGACAATTCAATTATGTCAAATATCGAGGGAACACACAGACAAATCAGTGCGTCAACGTTAGACAGTGATATGTTTTACCAATGATATTGATGACGAATGGGTTATGATTCCGGTATAGACGTGATTATCTCGTTCTCCTGTATATCAATCATAAATCCTCTTCAGGGCTATGCAAATATTACAGCGTATATACTATTGGATTTTTATTATAGTTGTGGTGAAAATGCAAAAACATTGCATTCTTATTAAAGCAGTCTTATCTAAAAATAACAAATAAACTTTAGAAAATCTGAAGACCGCTATAGCAAGACTAATAATGAAAACCTATAATCATTAAGGTAGACCACTGCTAATTGGCACTATAAGGAACTGTAAAATTGACAACATATGACAGTCATATGCCTTAAAGGTCACCTGTATGCAAACTTAAAATGAAATGTACTGTATGGTAAATGAGTTATGGACATTTTTCTTAACTAAAACTTTGTTATTAGAAGTTTTTTTTTCAGAAATGAGGAAACTCTAAATAATCTATAATATCATCATTGACTATAATATAATATCATTAAAATGTTTTCATATTGCTCATTGTTATGACCTCAAAATATCCCTAAAATTTAACTCAATGAAGAGCTGTTTTTAAAATTTGCCTAAATTTTTTCAGTATATTGGTTGATCATACAAATATAAAATACTTTTACGGTGTAGTTTTTATTTTATTCAACTTTTAATAATGTCTGGTATTATATATATTTGCTACTAAATTTGGCATTATTTAGCAAATAAATACCTACAATAATATAAAATTAAAATCAAACTCTTTTTACTTCCATAAGGGATCTGAGAGTTACATAAATAATGTAAAAAAAGAAGAAAAAAAAAAGAAGAAAAAAAGTTGCCCCTTCTGAGGTTCGATCCTACGCCCCTTAGTTTCAATGCAGTTGACAATTGATTCTAGCCTATATGACTACTAAAACATTAGCAGTGGTCTTCTTAAACATAAAAAAGCGCTGGTAAAAAAACAACAACAAACAAAAAACGACTAAAAACAACAACAAACAGAAAACGACTATGCTACAAAGAAATCTCCCGAACATTTCTTTGCTTCGGTTGGGCTTTGAGCCTTCTATTGCTGTAAAGATGACTATCTAAACTAATAAAAAACGGAACCTGAAACGCAATCAGACATAAGGTATTTTAAATTTTGGCTCAGAAAATATTATTTTTTATGCTATTTAAAACACTTTATATACAGAAAAAACAAATTACTGGTCCAAAAATTAACATGCCACATGAAAAACCCCCTTGACTTTTTGCTTGGGAAAGAGCTTTGCGCCTTAAACTGCTATAAAGAAAACACTTCAAACAGATAAAAAAAAAAGGAATTTGCACCGGATTCAAACACATGGTGTCTTAACGGTTAGCTCGAGAAAATGGCGCTGTTCTTTTTTTCGGAATTTTATACACTTTATTCACAGAAAGAACAAATCGCGGGTTCCAAAAACGACCATGCCACACGGAAAACGCACTGATATTTTAATTTACTAAATACATGACTTGTATTGAAAAAATGCTTTACTCGCAATCAAATTTGATTGATATAGCATTCTTACTGAAATTAACTTCAATCCAACGCGTTAACCACTAAGCCATGCAAGCTCACAAGCTCTAATATTCTTTCAAATAAATGACATTTAATGCATCACATTAACTCTTTGTAAGGTTACTAAAACAATCTAAAGTTATTCATTTCTTAAAAGCATAGACAGACCTATTATTCCAAATATCAAGGGAATTTGCAGACCAATCAGTTTGTGAAATCTGATGATATTACTTTTCTGTGCAAATGATTAATGTGTTTAAGATAACGGTGAAGACACGAAAATCTTGTTATAATGTAAATCATATACCAATCAATGGGCTTTGTCTCCCGTTTATGTTCTTAACAGTATGTTGATGAACATACAGAAGGTATCTGCCAAAAATATTGCTATCTGCATTAATCGAGGACACCCAACCTAACATCTTCGGATATGGGATAAATATTTCAGAGGATGAATTTGGTACATTATGTTATTTTCTCGTTTT